CTGGGGAGGTGAAACAGTTCATGGCTTTGCTACTAACAGAAAGGTTGAGAGGTTCAAGTCCACCTAGCGGCACCTCAGAAGAAAAACCTGGTGAGCAGCTTCCTAAAACCAGCCATTGAAACCCTATATTCCTGTGGAGTATGTTTCTACTCAGCCTCAAATGGGATCCGCATGAGTAACACAGCAAGGGTCTAGAATCTCAGCTGGTAACAAGTGCCCACAGAGCAAACTAGTGGAAGTGGGGGCTCAGGGTGCTTGTGGGTGGGGGATTCAGGTTTAGTCAGGTAGCTGGGCGTGTCCCCAGAAGAGGACATTTAGGTCAAAGCAGATGGCGTCCTGCAGGAGCAAAAGCCCGCACACAGGGCGGGTTTGTGATGTACTCACCACCCTTGCTGTCCCTGCACAGCCTGTGGTACTGATTAGGCCCTGAAGACACCTGTTTGTTGTTCAAAGCTTTTCTCAGCATGTGTCCCTAAAAGACACTTCTGCTGAAGGAAGTCAGCAGTGGCTCAGCCCGGCTTCACCATGCCACAGAGCAGACTGCTAAGAGCAGGGCGTCCTGGGCGCACCTTGGTGGCTGGAGTCTGATGGGACCCCCCTTCCTCCTCCAGCACCTCTGCTCTCACCAAGTGACCCAGCTTCCTGGGGGCTGCCAGCCTTACCGCCCCACGTCCTGTGGCCCCATCCTCCCCAGTGCTCACCTCTTACACCCCAACTTCCTCGTCGGGGAGGAGGGGTCAGTTCCAGCTCGTGCTCTGCTTTCCAGCTGGAGACTGAGACATGTCTGTGCCTTGCCTCCTGGCATGATGTTCCACAGGCACAGGTGTGAGGGACTGGGTTCAGGTGTGGATGCCTGCAGACGGGGCACACAGAGCTGTCTCCTGCCCTTCCTGACAAGCCTGAGCCTTTCATTTGCCACAGGCATGCGCTAAGAACATCTCCCCAGTGGGCTTTGGTTCTACTACATAAAACAGGAGAGACGGGCATCTGCTCTATAGGAACAGCGAGAACAGTCCAATATCAAACTTGGGGCCACTCTCACCTGGGCTCTGAGCCCCTCCCCCCACAGGTGGCCTCACCGGCCCTAATCCTGGAAAGTGGCTTTTTTCCCCCCAGGTATCCTATGCTCGCCCCAGCTCTGAGGTCATCAAAGATGCGAACCTGTACATCAGCGGGCTCCCGAGGACCATGACGCAGAAGGACGTGGAGGACATGTTCTCGAGGTTCGGGCGCATCATCAACTCCCGTGTGCTTGTGGACCAGACCACAGGTGTGGCAGCCACTGGGGTGCACTGGGGCTGGGATGGGTGTGGTTCTTAATTTTCCAGTAAAGAGAGTAGGACACAGGAAGACATTAGCTTTTGATTTTTGAGGCGGGGAGAAGAAAAGGCCTAGAAAGCCCGTTTTGATGGAAACACCAAGAAATTCTAGCCCCTTCCCACAGGCACCCAGCTGTTCTAGCCCTGCTTGTGGGGGCGTGGGGGCTTTGATCCCCTGCTGCTTTTGTTTCAGGCAGGCCATTTACAGTGCCAAAGTGTCTTTTCTCAGGACCCGGCATCCCTGCTCTCATTCTCTGAAGCTACAACACTGTTTCTCCTGAGCACCTCTACCCCGACAAATACCACTTCCAAACAGTCACAGTTGGGCTACTTGCTGCCCCTCTGGTTCCATCTTCAGGCCCCTAAATTTGTTCCAAGCAGGAGGGCAGATGAGCTGCCAAACCAGAAAGGAAGGGTTTTCTCCTCAGGGCCTAGTGAAGCCAGTGGAATAGTCCAAAGTTGATTTTTATGTTGATTTATGTTCTCCATAGTACATCCACTGCCTGGACATTGCCAGCTCTGGGCTGCAGTGGGGGCCCAGGGAAGAGGAGAGAAATGACCACCTCCCCCCTGAGTTGTGGGCACATGCTGTGTCCTTGGAATAGAGCAGGAGGCAAGGCAGAAGTGGCCATTTCCTGCACGGCCCCTTGCCCAGCCTGTGGGCTTAGAACTGAAGGAAGTGAGCCCTGAGGCCCATAGAGAGTCCAGCGCAAAGCACCTCCCTTAGAAACATAGCTGGTTTTGTATCTGAAGCTGTCTGTGAATTTTGTAATTCACTTATCTAGAGATTGTGCCATGTATTGGTCTCTGCTTTTGATTCTAGAAATCACTAGGGGGAAAACAAAACAAAACATAGACTTATATTTTAAAAATTAAGGTTCAGATAATTTCTTACACATTTATTTCCCTTGAGTTAAAGAGCATTCTTTCTTTCTCGGGTTTTCTTCATTCTCCTTGGCCAGTTTCACTTGAACAGAAGCAAACCTAGGGAACCGTACTTGCGTGCATGCGCACACTCTTTGTCCATGCTTCACCTTTATTCCATGAACACCCTCCTGAAGAGTGCTTTCTGGGAGGGCTGACCAGCCAGCACTTCCCATCATGCTTGCCTCCAGTTAGATTTCATTCTAACATCGAGTCCGCCCCCCTTCCTGCCCAGTGCCTGCGTTCCTTCTCTGACCTGGAATCAGAAATGGCCATTGGCTCTTGAGTTTTCCTAGTGCACATGGACACAACTATGCGTGCCTTCACCAGCCCAGCAAGGTTACTGGGCCATGTGGGTAATTTTATTGTTAATTTATACTAGATCAGTCATGGTGCCCATGACTCTAAGAATGGCCCCTGGTCAGTCCAGGAACAGTGCTGTGGGACACCCAAAATGGGAGGTCCACAGTTGGACATTCTGTGGGGGGTGCATCCAGGACCTGTGGTCCCTGGCTGTTCTCTGTGTGTCGCATGGGGTTGTATGCCAGAGGGCTCAGATGTGCGTTACAGTGATACCTGAGACACCTTGCCCATTCACCAGCACCCTTTGTCTGCCACCTCCAGCTTGTGTGGAGTGGGTCCTTCCTCAGCTGGTGACCTGGGCTGTGGTGTTCCTGCTGCAGTCACTGTCAGCAGCTCTCTGTCCCTGAGTTGAGCACCGTCTCAGTCTCTGACTGACCGTCCATGAAAGTGATCCACCGCAAGGCCCAGCCATGCCGCCGCCTCAACACACACACGTTGCCACCCTCTCCGGCTTGTGTCTTTCCCACTGACAGACACCAGGCCCTCCCTCCTTCCATAGGAGGAGCGGGTCTGCTCCTGCTGCCACCTTGCCCTGGCTGCACTCAAGCTCTAGTGGGCGGGGGTGGGGTGGGGGTGGCAGGAGGTTGTGTTACCACAGGGAATGTCCCTACCTTTGGGTAGCCCAATCTAGGTGGTGTGAGAGCGGGGTCAGATGTGCAGTGGCCTGAGACGGGAGAGTGGTGGGTGGGTTTCAGGTCCATGCATCCCAGGGAGAGGGCTAGTGACCTCGCTGAGACGGTGGCGTCCACACTTGGCGCAGGAGGCGGTATGAGGCCGTGGTCTTTCCTTCGTTCCTGCTTCCTTTTAAACCCATTCGTTTGCCTTCATGTTTAGGTTGAACTTTGTTGGTCTCATTAACCAGGGAATCAGACTGCGTTGAGTTTTGTTTTTCAATTTGAAACATTCCTTTTTTGTTTTTTTTTTTACCCCTAACTTTATTTTTATTGGTTTGTTAAAAAGGTTTGTCCAGAGGGGTTGCGTTTATCCGGTTTGACAAACGGTCGGAGGCAGAAGAGGCAATTACCAGTTTCAATGGTCATAAACCCCCAGGTTCCTCTGAGCCCATCACAGTGAAGTTTGCTGCCAATCCCAACCAGAACAAAAACGTGGCGTTGCTCTCCCAGCTGTACCACTCGCCCGCACGACGGTTTGGAGGGCCCGTGCACCACCAGGCGCAGAGGTTCAGGTGGGTCTGAGGACAGCCACAGGAGGCCTGCACTGCCGCACCTGCGTTGCCTGTGGGTAACTGGGGATGTGAGGTCAGCCTCTTAGAAGGGCGTGTTTCCATCTGTGTTGTCTGTAACTGGGATGCAAATGCAGCTCCTGAAAGAGTGAATAAAGGGAGCACGGTAAGGTTAAAGACCCTGAGCAGGAGAGAAGCGTTTCTGGAGCCTTTGAACCGGCTCTAGGCACTTGGTCAGAAGCCTGCAGCTGAACCTTTTAGGACACGTCCTTGTGGTGTTTCTAAACATGACAGGTCTGCTGTTGAAAAGCCCTTTCCACAAGTATTTGCATACTGTCCTTCTTTCCATGAGGCCAGGACCCAGAAGAATAGACAGTGTGCTCTCTGGCCCACTGACCAGGCCAGATCAGTGTTCGGGGACCAGGTTTTGTTTTTATTTTTGGTTAAGACCTTCAGAAACTACACAGTGGCTTAGCTCCGCGGCATGTCAAGGAGCCTTCCCAGTGGCTTCTGAGCTTGTCTAGCTTCATCTGAGGCAGGAAGGCCAGGCTGTCCCCACTCATTCCCACAGATACAGAGTCTGCTCTGCTCAGGCTCCGAAACTCCTCTTCCTGCCTGGACTTCTGTCTGGTAAAGAATGGGGAGAATGGTGCTCTGTTCAATTTGGAAAGTCAGCTAACTCCACCAGAATCACCGGATAGGCAGTGTGGATGAAGCAGCCAGTGGGTCAGCAGAACTGGGAAGTCAGGAGTGGAGGTGGTCAGAGGATAAGAGGGGGACTTTGATCCCAGTCACTGGACACAGAAAAGGGAAGCCTGAGTAGCTGGAAGTGCTGGTCATCTGGAAAGGGGGGGTGGATCAGAAAGGGGAGGACAAACTGGCCCAGGAGGCAGACTGAGATCAAGAATCTGGGGAGGCAAGATCCAGGGAGTTGTTGCAGCCATTCTCATGCTTAGTTAGGAAAAGCTTGTTTTCCTTCTGACCCATCAGAGAGGGGAACGCTGAGGCAAGGGGGTTCATGGTTGTCACAGGATAATAAATCAGCTCCAATTAGCAGGAAAAGAAGTGCCAGACAAGAATAGCTGGTAGGAATGAGAATACCGTGAGTAAAGCCTAGTGAACTATGATGTCAGGATTCTCCTCAGCATCACAGCTACGGGGGAACTCACAGAGAGGATCACAACCATGTCCCACTAAAGGAAAGTGGGATCCTCCATGTGGTTCTCCTAGCCAGGTGGCCCAGCTTCATGTCCGACAGGTGCTCCGGGACTGGCCAGGTCTGAGTAGCCAGCCAGGCCTGTGGCCATCCTGGCTTGAGCAGTTGAGGCTGTGATGGGCCTGTGTGTAGAGTTCTCGCCTACAGCGTCTCCCGTTTGCTGTTGGACGGGCCTAACTTCCGAGCAGGGGAGCGCCCCTCTTCACAGTAACCCCTTTATCACCATCTACCTGACTCCTCCTGGCACCATTTCCACACCTCTAGGAGGCCTGTTTGGTGTAAATCACAAGTGTCACTGTGGAAAGTGTACCTCGTTTCCGGTGAAGCTGAGTGAACTTGCAGTTGTCTATACTGTCATCCTTCCCCCCCCCCCGGGATGCGAGAGGGAACTCCCCCTGCCTCCAAGGTGGTCCCCCAGGGGCGCTCTGAGTGTCCACCACTCGGCTGTAACCCTTGGAGAGGATCAGAAGAAGGTACAGAATTTGGGAAATGAAAGGAAAAGAATCTTGTGTTCTCCCCCTCCCCCTATCTCCCCCACTCCAGACTACATGGAGCATGAGAGGAAAGAGCTCCCGTCAGTGAGCGCAGAGCCAAGTGGTACCTGGGAGGACATGCCTGCCTCCACCACCACCACCACCACCACTGTGAGGGAGCAGCTGCAAAGACTGTCCCCTCAGCCCTGACCATCCATGTGAAGACAGAGCAGGGACCCACCCCACCCAGAGTTTCCTCCCAGCTTCAAACGCAAGATTTTGTGCCTCAAGCAGTGGCTGAGCTAGGCAGCATAGACAGCAGAGGGGCCCCATGTCCACGTGTACCAGGCTGTCTTCCCTTTTGGGCACAGTTGCCCGCCTGAACACTGTGCTCTGTCCTCAGGTTCTCCCCGATGGGTGTGGATCACATGAGTGGGCTCTCTGGCGTCAACGTGCCGGGCAATGCGTCTTCAGGCTGGTGCATCTTCATCTACAACCTCGGGCAGGACGCCGACGAGGGAATCCTCTGGCAGATGTTTGGTCCCTTTGGTGCCGTCACCAACGTGAAGGTGATCCGCGACTTCAACACCAACAAGTGCAAAGGGTTTGGCTTTGTGACCATGACAAACTATGAAGAAGCGGCGATGGCCATAGCCAGTCTGAACGGCTACCGCCTGGGGGACAAAATCTTACAGGTTTCCTTCAAAACCAACAAGTCCCACAAATAACTCGCTCATGCTTTTTTTTGTACGGAATAGATCATTAAGAGTGACCGAAGTTGAACCTTTTTGTTAGTGTACAACTCACTTTACGGCAATTTTCACAAGTGTTTGTCTTAGTCTAATGAGAAGTGAAGAGGTTTTTATACTCTGGGATGCAACCGACATGTTCAAATGTTTGAAATCCCACCATGTTAGACCAATTTTAAGTTTCTTAAGTTATTTCCTTTAAACTATATATTAAGCAGAAATCTGAGTAGACTGCATTAACTAACCAGTCCCTCTGGATGGTGGTAAAACTGAAGCATGCTTTAACTTCTAAGACCGTCTAACATTTCGTTTCATTTTGATGTCTCCATGAACTGGATAAAAGGAAAGAAAGGTACTTTTGAGTTTGAGTTTTTAAAACTAAAGATGTTAGACGCTGAGTGTGCATTTTCTCAACCGCTTCCCCATTCGGAGCGATTGATGCGCTGGTTGGCAGGAAGTTGCTTCCCAGAGCAGGTCCCATTGCCACCTCCCACTCACTCAGCCCCACGCTTGGGCCTGGGGGGTGGGGGGAGCGCCTTTATGGGGAGGGGTCGAGCTCCAAGCGGTCCTGAGAAGGGCACACACAGGTCTCTAAGCCCAGGCGCCTGTGGGGAAGGACCAAAGAGTTTCCGGGGAAACTCCAGTGTATTCCAGTCAGCTCTAAGCTCCAGGCCTGAAGATGTGTCGCTCTGCCCACACGCATGCCTGCTGCTCTCCCAGCGGCCCCGGCTGCTCCCTCCCTTCAGTCTCTGAGACCACTCATCACAGCTTGAACGCGCACACTAGCGCTGCGTTTGAAGCCCACGTAAACATTTGAGCATTGTGACCTCTCGCATCCCCTTCTTGTGAGCACTAGGCTTTCCTTCCTGTATTTAGTTGGATTTTGTTTTGACAATTTGCTCTGGTCTGAACACTCAGCAGACAAGTGCGTAACTTCTTGCCGGTTAGCTATTAACAAAAGCCTTTGATTGTAGTCCTAAAGACGAACCTGCAGCGCTCTCTCCGTAACCGCCTTGACATTTTGGGTTGCTCTGTTAATTTTTCTTTTGCTTTTTTGTGTTTTTTCGTTTGTTTGTTTTTACTTTTGCATTTAAGACCATTAAATTTGATTTTGTTTTGCTCGAGTTTTGTTTTGTTTTTTTTTATTTTACCTTTTCTTTCTTTTTTGGCTAGGGAAGGGGCAGGTGGGCCCGCTGGCAGGGAAAATCTGTGTAGAAGGTCTTCAGAACCAAACCCTGGGCCTCAAGGGAAAAGTACTCGTCAGTCTGTGCACTCACAGGTTGGCGGGTTCTAAACCAGGCACAGTCAGGAAGTACCCCAGACAGGGCTCTTCAGGAATGGGATCCGATTTTTATCAGTTTTTAGTGCGCAGAGAGAATCCAAAAGCAGAAGGGGGTGGGGGGCGATCAGTTAATTCCAGCAGTTTTTAACCTTGCTATGAGACTAAACATGTAAACCATGTTTGGGGTTTTGTTTTCTTGTTTTAGTTCTAGATAGAACAGAATGATGGACTTATTTATTTATTTATGTATTTATTTATTTATCTGCCTTGTTTATTTATTTCTCTATTGGTATGGAAAATCAGGCGTCAGGCTCCCTTCTCCAGAGCAGGTCAGGGTTCCAAGCAGCCCTTGGGCGATCCGGGTGCCCTAGTCTGCTGCCTGGCCCCCCTCCTGCCCCCTGGCCCCGACGCTGAACTAAGGTGCTGCCGCCGGCCATTAGCATTGCCGTCGCCAACCTGAGAGAACGCCATGTACTCTTTCCATGAAAGGCCAAGTGGTACCCAGGCCGTGTGGTGCCATTTGGCCAAATGCCATGGAGGATTGGCCCCTGGGTCCAACAAAAGGTCCTAAGTAGAAACCAACTTAAGTGTCGACTCTGACAACTCAGAACCCCAGCCCGTGTGTGCCTGGGTTCTATCCCGAGGCCGTCCCTGCTCTGTCAGCCCCAGCACTCTTTCCTTAGGATCATTGTTTTCCTGGGAAAAGTCACATCAGGGGACAGCTTCCGAGTGCAGGTGAAGTTCCTAGTTCTGAAACTCACCCTCAAGTCGCCTCGGGTCCACACATTCCCGCCGGCTTCAGGAGTGGGTACACAGCTGGCCCCTGGCCCCTGACTCCTCTAAACCATACTGAGTATTCTGAGGCCGGGATAGACGCAGCCATCTGTGAACCTTGGAAAACTCCCAGAAGGTTCTAGTTCTGTCGAGTGTTCATCTTCGTTGTCTCCACTGTCTGAACAGCCTTGTAGATACAAAAGATCTCAGTGAATTGCTTTGGGAGTTGTCATTGGCAAGTGTGTGGAAGAGCTTCGTTGTTGAGATGTCATACAGTCCAAAGGCTGTTGTCCTTCGCTGTCCAGATCCTAGATGCTGACCTTGTGCCCGCAGAGTTCCTTGCATCTTATGTAGGCTTGTTTGCCAAAGGAAGGTCTCTCTTGTTAAAGTCACAATCCAAAAGAAAGCAGAATGTTCCAGAAGATAGTGTTTGACATAGATGAATCACATCTGTCTTAAGCAAAGTTAAGTGCACTCCTTTTATTTGAAAACTTTGATTAAACAAAGCTTTGGTAGTTATCAGAGAGTGAAGCTTTACTGAATTCTCTTTTGGCCTGAGGGGGCTTCAAACAGTTCCCTGGGGCAATTCTATTACCTTTTCATTCCTTTCTTCCACAAACAATTTGAAGCCTCCTCACAGCTGGGGGTTTCAGAGAGAACCTGGTTCTGGACAAATGGCCTGTTTCTCCCCTTGACTTTCCCCTGCATTGAATTTCTCCACCTATGAGGCCACAAGCCTCTGGTCACAGCACTTTGGCCGTGACTCCCCCTTCCAGGGTCCCTTGTCCCTGCCACTGGTGCCATCTTGCACGAATGTCTGAAAGAGGGGCCTTTGGGCTCTTGTGCAGGTGGTGCTGGGTGGGGGCCCACTGTCTTGGTCCCCGGAAGGTGAGTCTCCCCATCTCCAAAGGCCTTAACATTTGAGAGCCTGTATGCGCTGTTCATGCCAGGACCCCAGCCTACAGCGGGTCACCTCTGGATTAGGGAAGTAGATGAATCCAAAGACAGTTGGGGGCAACTAGTTATCCCAGTTTGCCTCCAAACATGGGGGGTCAAAAAGATGTGACTTCTCCACATCCCAACAGCGTTAATGTCACCCAGCTGTCCATTTCACGTCCGAGTCCGCATAGTCTGATTTCTGTATGCTTTTGCAGTCTTCATGTGTTGGATTAAAGCGAATAAGAATCAAGGGCCTCTTCTCCCCTCTCCACCCTCCACCTCATACCCTGGCCTGTCCCCCCAGCACCTGCAGTGCCCATTGGGCTGTGCCGCAGGCGTCTCCTTCCGAGCCATGTCTGGGACTACCTGCCCATGTCGCCAAACACCCCCAAGAGCACCGTGAAGTCACAAGTGCTTTCTGTTGAGTGGCATTTGTAATTGACCCCTTCTTACCATCTGGTAGCTCTACGCCCTCTGAGGTCCGGACCCCTGCAGGGCTCACGTGGCCAAGCCTTCTGATTTCCCTGGGACCTTTGATGATTGTATCACCTTTCCCGTACCTTGCCGGTCACACAGTGCCACTTTTGGCTTGGTCGTTGAACGTGATTTGTGAGCCACCACAAGTACCTAAGTGAGGCCAACCCATGGCTCGACCGGTGACTGGAGAGGACTGTGTTTTACTTCCAGAAGGCTCTGCCGCTGGGGGCCGCTTCTTAACCATGTGATGTTCACGTCCGACTTGCTTTGGGGGCGGGGGAGGCTCGGTGGTTAGACGATGTGTATCTTAGCGTGTTTTAAGTTATTGATTTGTTTTATATACGATCTTTTCTTTTTCAGGTACCCATTTTTTTCATTTTAACTTTGTTTTTACCTGGGTTTGTTTTCAATAAAGTATGACACTGCTGTCCAAAAGTCAACAATAAATGAATCCCATTGTGTTCTTTGGAAGATGTTTATGTAACCAGCTGGGTTTTAAGTAGTATTATTTTCAGAAAAGCACTGATCAGTTTCCGACCTTCCCGTTGCCTTTTTAATCCTTGTGAATAAATGTTCTTTAGTGTTTTCGAAGGGAAAAACAAAAACAAAACAAAACAGAAGCAGACCTAGATTTTCATAAGCCAGAAGATTTCCGATTAATAAAGAAGCTTTGAAAGAAGACCATTTTTCAAAATTTCAGTGACGTGTGAATATTTTTGTCAATGGCTTTCTCAAAAAGAATAAAACTTTTGCACCATTTTCAGAGTTTTTATAGATGCCAAATTGATATATTTACATGTAATGGAAACGTGGAAAAAAAAAAAAGTTTTATTAAACAATTGTTCCTAGCTGTGTAGACATTTTAATTCAGTTTCCAGAGGCTCTCAGGAGCATAGTTGTGAAGTCCGGAGTGATAACGGTTTGGGGGCGTTCCGGTTCCTAACACCATTGTCCACGTAATTAGTGTTCTTCACAGGTGTCAGGTGTGCGCTGCACACGCTCTGTGAACTCTCACTGGAATTGTGTCAGGCTTTGCTGATAAACCAATTGGGACCCTTGAGATGCCATGGTGTGAGCCACCTCAGAAGGGACCCCAGGCTCCCGGGGTCCCCTCCTTCCCCAGGGGAGCCCTGGCTTCCTGCCTGTGGGAGCTGAGCCTGGGACGCACTGTGTGACCGACTCCTGGCTATTGGCCTCTCCTGCCCTGGTGGACCCTCACAGGCCAGCTGCCTCCCCTGGACACCCAGATGCCACTCCCTGCATGTGCCCTGAGCTTGTTTTGTGCTCCCTGGGTGGGAAGCGGCTGACACAGTATCTCCTGTCCATCTGCTCCCAGCCCATCCCACCCGGCCACCTGACCTCCCTTCCCTGGTGATGACCGCTTGCCCTCTCCCTGGGCCATGCACCCCATCGCATGCCTCTGAGACACCCCTCGTTTGGTGGTGGGATACTGGGTGGTGAGGCACGCCTGCTCGGGTTTGGAACCTGGTGTTGCCATGTTAGTATG